CCAGCAGCAGTTGGCAGGCTTTCTTCTGCATCCTGTCTAGAGCAGCCCGGAGGGACGTGGGGACTTCTCTGCGGGCAGTGTCAGGGTGCAGGGAGGAGACAGAGGAGCTAGGAGAAGAAAGGAGGGGACAGGTAGTCTGGGAAGCTCGGTGGGGACACTGGTCCCACCTGGGGATGGGAAATGGGTAGTGGGGTTGCTACAAGACCTACAAGGTGCTGCTGCACATTACCTGAGAGCCAGATTGTTGTTGAGCGTGGCCAGCAGGTAGGAGACATAGTACTTGGGTATGGTACGGTCCTTCTGGTGCTCCTTTCCACATTGCACTAGGGCTTCCCGCAGACTGCAACACAGCGAGTCAACCATGATGGGTGGGCAGAGCCCTGGACATCTTGCCACAATGACCTGGAGGTGGGATGCTCTTGAGGGCACTTGGACCTCCCACCACCCTCCCAGCTCACTTGGGTCTTTCCAGCTCCTGCCACCAGGTTGGAGAGTGGCAGGTTGTTGGGTAGGGTGGGACAGTGGGACCCATTTTGGACCCCTTGGGAGAGCAGGCCTTGGCACTACTGGAGAGGTGCTTGGGGCAGCAAGCCCTGGGAGCTGATGACCCCATGGGTGAGACAGTAGCCCCATGGGTAAACAGCCTTCTGGGACCTGGATGAGTGCTGGGCACCCCATGACAGAGATCTCCACCATCAGCCTATGGTGCTTGGCCATGGGACCCATGGTCTTTGAGGATGGGCAGGGGTGCAAGGGGCTCCACTGACCGGCCCAGAAATGCCTCAAGCTCCTCCAAGGCCATGTTGTAGACCTTCTGCTGCAGAGAGTCTGTGATCAAGGAGGCCACCTGGATATTCTCATTCAGCATCTGCACAGGGAGAAGAGAGTGGAAGTGAGTCAGTGGGAGACTGCATGCCACGACTCCCTTTTTGGGGGCCCTCAGCATGGCCGTGCCCATGGTGCTGGAGACCCACCTGCATGACAATGACGGGCAGGGCTGACTGGAAGAAGCCTTGATGGTCCGTCTCAGGTTCCTCTTGCCTGAACCATTCCTTGAACTCCACCTCCAGGGTCCTCTGCATCCACTCGAGCACGCTAGCCTGTGGGGTGGACACCCACCACGGTCAGCCCAAGAAGTCAGGTACCAACTCCCTTGAGACCCAACACATAGCACAGCAGCGAGTCCTGGACCTCATCCCACAGGCTCATGGTCTCCTGCTGCTGTCAGAGCAGATGCTGGCAAAGTGGTGGTCATTGGGTCCCCATACCCACGTGCTGTCCCGCTCACTCACCTTGACTTTCACCACGTATTTCCTCTCTGTCTGATCCACAAGCTCAGGGGACATCAAGGGGCCCAGAGCAGAAACGTCCACTTCTGGGAGAAGGTCAGGGTGACCCATCATCTCTGGGCTGGAGGGCAGAGGTGGGACAAGGCTGGGAAGACCTGTGCTTTCCAGCAGTTCCTACCTCTCCCTCTGCCCTCCCAGTCATCCCCAGGCAGCCAGAGCCACTCTCCCAACCTGCCTGCATGCTGGTGGACAACCCAGCTGGGTGCTGCGGGTGGTGCTGACCTGTGATACACACGAAGCGCCCACTCAAGGAGGAGGAAGAGTGCCTGTTTGTCCAGGTCCTCTCGGAGGATGTCCTGGAGATGGCTGGTGAGGGCCTGGTGGTAGGTGGCCACACAGACGCTGAGGATATTGTAGTGAGCTGGGACGCACTGGACCATCAGGTCCTTCACCACACACAGCTCAGATACGATGCCCTTCTGCAGCGCTGCCAGGTGCCTGGCCAGCCCTGGCCCCTCAGCGTCCACGCGAGCAGCACAAAAGTGGGCTCCTGTGATGGTCTGCTGGAGGACGTGGTAAAACTTCTGCCTCCAGCCCTTTGGGCGGCCAGGGGGCAGGAAGGTGGCCTCCAGGAGCAGAGTATCATCTATTTTCTCCTCCCGCTCGATGATCCTTACAGCGGTGACGAAGAGAACTGGGTCCTTGCGCACTAGCCGCAGGCTGCTGCCCACAATGTCCCACAGCTGCTTGGCCAGGCTCTCGTTGAGCTCCTGCAGGCCACCAAAGTAGGACAGGACAGTTGCCTGGGCACTGGAGAGCCCGCGGAGGTGCAGCTGGGAGAGGATGTTGTCCCGGAGGTGCTCCATCATCATGAGCTCCGCATGGGCCTCCAAGAGGTGCTGCTCATGGAGCAGCTGCAGGGTATGGGAAAAAACCTCATGGACTGTGAGAGAGGGAGGAGAGATGCCAGGATTGAGTGCAGGGGGCGAAGGGGGTTGGCACCGGGGTCACAGGCACAGGTTAGCAGGGGAGGGTCTGAGACGTGGGGATCTGGGAACACCATGCTCGATCAGGCCCTGGGGAGGCAGTGGCATCTCCATCCACAGAGACTTTCCAAATCCAACTGGCAAAGCCGGAGCGACCTGCTCTAGCTTTGCTCCAGCCCTGTGCAGAGCCTGGGGTTGGACTGGAGTTCTCCCCAGTGCCTTCCAGCCCAAATCCATGAGGACGGGGCCAGTGTCTTACCCGAGAAGAGCTGGGGCAGCACCTGGACCACCGAGGCCAGCTGCACGTGCTCCGCCATCAGTGCCCGCATCTGCTGGAGGCCCTGGAAGCGGTCTGCACTGTCGAGCAGGGCCCACCGCGCAGCCCCCAGGTCCTGGCACACGCTCTGCACCTCCTGGGCCGCCGACCGCAGCTGCTCCAGCCCCGCACTTACCCCTTCCAGGTAGGACTGGACAGTTGACTGGGGAGCAGAAGAGGATGGAGGGGCAGTGGAGAAGCTCTCAAAGGGTGGAGGATGCACGCACCGTTTGCCCCACCCTTGCCAGGTCTCTCTTGCATGCACTCTCCCAGCCCCATAAGGTAACATCTGCCTCTGCCATCATGCCATCATATCTCCCAGACCTTCCGTGATGACCCCATCCCATCAGACCCAAGCACACTCAACTTCAAGAAACCCGCTCCAGCAGCAGGAA